ATGTGACAAACATATCTCAGCGGAATAGACAAGGACGGAAGAAGGACTTTTTTAGCGGCCTTGGATGTGGAAGCATTTTTCCTGTTCATTTTGTCCATATGTGGCCATTTCCTAAAACCTTTCAGCATTCAAAGCTATGAACCAAACCACCCAAACCCATACAAAATTTGAGTAGGCATGAAAATGAAAAGGCATTCACCCTATCTATTTTCTAAATGCAAGTTCTCGATCTTATTGTGAACGATTCATCCATGCATGTTTAATTGTTTATTTACTTATTTATTTAGACCCCCTCAAATTACGTATAATGACTGTATATTTAGGTAAACTGACAGTCTTCTCTCTGGTGACGTATGCAAATCTTCTTGAATCATTTATTCTGCTTAACCCACCCTTTTCTTTTTCTTCTCGCATTCATATCTGCCTTCATCCAATCAACAACCAGTGCACAGAATCAAGTCCCGCCCCATACAGAAATGTAATATACATCATGTATTGCCCTACATCAAGAATACATACATTCTCTGGGTAGGTGAAGATATAAGATTATAACATATATCAAATCCCCATAGTTAAACTTGTATATGTAACATGTAAATTCTGTCATCATTTACTCACTCTCAAGTTGTTCCAAAACTGTATGAGTTTGTTTACTCTGCTGAAGACAAAATAAGTTATTTTGAAGAATGTTGGTTACCAAACAGTTGATGGTAGCCATTGACTTCCATACTATGGAAAAACTAATATGGAAGTCAATGGCTACCGTCAACGGTTTGGTTCCTCACATGCTTCAAAATTTCTCCGTTTGTGTTCCACTGAGGAAGGAAAGCTCAACTGTCAGTGTGGAGTGACATGAGGGTGAGTGAATGATGACAGATGTATATTTCTCTTCAGTGTTATGTGGGTAGCTAGCTCAGCTAGCCTGCAAGAACTCACAGCTGTGGCCACCATTCCTGTTTCCATGGTAACAGTGAATTTTTGATTGGTGGATCTTGCTTCAGGAATTTGGGTGGTGTGTTACATTAGGAATTCGGCTATTAAAAGTGAAGTTTCTGTGAGTTACTGCTTCTGCAGAGGCATATACCATCACTTCATAAACCTCAGAACTCAGGAAGTCTTGAAAGGTTTATATGTTCTTGCTTTAAAAATTCTCTTTGGAAAACAGGAAACCTAGAAGTCACTAACTTATCATTCAACATCCATATTTTAGAGTTTAGATATTTTAGCTTGTGTAGGACAAACATATTTTTTGTTATATGAATTCTATATGAAAATGGTTATATAAAGCCATTCAAAAGTTTGGGGTTCTTAATTTATTTATTTTTTTTGTAAAAAAAATTACCTTTCTTAAACAATGATGAATTAAACTGATCAAAAGGCCAGTTCCCTTTGAACTTTCTATTCATAAAATAATCCTGTTTCACCATTTCCACAAAAAAAAAGAAAAAAACATCACAACTGTTTTCAACATTGATAGTAATACAAAATGTTTATTGAGCAGCAAATCAGCATGTTAGAAGGATTTTTGAAGGATCATGTGACTCTGGCTGCAGAAAAAAATCCATCACAGGAATAAATTACATTTTAAAAGATATTAAAACAGAACCCAACATTTTGAACTGTATGAGATGTATTGTATTTTAATATTTACACTTCAAAAAGAAAAGGTTAAAAATGCAGAACCTTATAAGGGTGAAGTGTGTAACTGAAGACACTTCCTCTTAGGCATTGCTATTTAATTGGAGCTCTCTTCCCTCCCAAGATACTGGGTCTTTTCCTTCTAGCTGTCCTCAACACTTTCCATCTTTCTGGTCTCTTCCACTTTTCTATTATATCCTGAATATGCCTTCTCCTCACTTTTCTCATAGATGCATTTGAACAAGCATAGGCTATACCCATACTAAACTTCTGGGCTGATCATCAACAGATTGTTGCGGCCTAAATCAGTCATTTTAATTAAAATAAATAATTAAAAGGATTATTATAACTGCCTTGTGATGTGCTGATTATCTAATACAGTACATCTGTACAACCTGACCTTTAAGCTTCGATGTGTTTGTTAGCCCCACTGTCTCAACAGTTTTCAGAGTCGTAATGAACAGCTGTTGTTTGGTCCAGAGAGATTTCCGCTGTTCTCTGCCACTCATCTTCCCAAAAAAGGGATCGCTCAACCAGAAAAGGAAATTCTGTCATTTACTCACCCTCAATTTGTTCTAAACCTGTATAATATTTTGTGTTAAATACAAAAGAAGATATTCTGAAGAATGTTGGTAACCAAACAGTATCGGTTCCCATTGACTTCCATTGTATTTTTTGTCCATACTATGGAAGTCAACGGGAACTGAAACCGCTTGGTTGCCTACATTCTTCAAAATATCTTCTTTTGTGTTCCACAGAAGAAAGTCGTAATACAGGTTTGGAATGACATGAGGAGAGTTTGCAACTTCAGGCAATATTAGCAGCACAGACTTTTGACAATGAGACATAGTTCAGCAATATGCAAATGAACAGCACCTATCAATACAGTTACCAATACAACGGCCGTCACAGTTGTATGCACTGCAGTGCATTCGAGTGTGAACTGACTGCATAGAAACTCTGTGAACACTGTTTCAGACACATGCACATGCTCTGAGCTGCTTTGACCGACTTAAGTTGCCTCTTCCTTGCTTGAGGTACAAACCCAAACTTATATTACCAGTATATTATTATATTACTGCAAGCATTTGGTTAACAGCCAATGACCAAACTGTGCACTGAGAATCTCAAGTGGTCAGGCTGATGTAATATTACTCTAGCATTTATGTGGTTTGTGTGTGTTGCATCTGAATACACACTTAAATACTTTATATACAGTAGCTTAATTGTTTTTAAAATGTCTCTGCCAGTGTTAAAACCTATCCTACACCACTGGGTCAGATGGTAACAGAGAGTAATTTGTGTCATAAGTATTGAGTGAGGAGATTGATTTCATATTATTTCAATTTAGCTGCTAATGTTCTGAATGTGAACTGATTTGCATTTTAACTCTCACTATGGTACTGTGACCTCTACCGACATTGTTGTTTGTCATATAGCACTGCATTAGTGTATGGGTTAGCTATAGTGAATTGGACCCAGTTGAACGGAAGGTCACATTGCTATATGCTCATGATTCGTGAGTCAGACACAACCTCACATTCCTCGACTCTTCTGCACCAGGAATGTTTGCTCTCTGTCTTTCCCCTATTCCTCTCTCCTTGGCAATCACAGCGGCCCCTCGACCTGCCAGAACAGCCCTCTGGATAAACAACAGCAACACTGTTCAGATGTGCTTTAAGGGAAAACTCTTTTCCCACTCAACTACTGATCTGTAACCACTATTTTAACCACAACTCTGACAGTTGAGGTTGATTGCATTTATACTGCAAAAACATTCTTTAAATCAATATTTTGTCTTTCTTTGTTTTCTAGTAAAAGTACCTAAACATTCCTAAAAATTTATTTTTAAAATAAATTTTAAAAGGACTGTTTCCTTTTTAAATTCGTAAAGTAAATTTTTTCTTGCTAATTGTTTTTTTTTTCTAAATTGTTAAAAAATGAATTATTGTCAGAAATCTAAGTCTTTCATGCTCACCAAGGCTGCATTTATTTGATCAAAAATACAGTAAAAACATGAATATGGTGAAATATTATTGCTATTTAAAATAGCACTTGTTTATTTGAATATATTTTAAAATATAATTTAATACTGTGATACACATCATTACTCCAGTCTTCAGTGTCACATGATCCTTCAGAAATCATTCTAATATGCTGATTTGCTGGCTTGTTTATTTGAATATATTTAAAAATATAATTTAATACTGTGATTCAACGCTGAACATCATTACTCCAGTCTTCAGTGTCACATGATCCTTCAGAAATCATTCTAATATGCTGATTTGCTGCTCAATAAACATTTCTTATTATTATCAATGTTGAAAACAGCTTTGCTGCCTAACATTATAAATGTCTTTACTGTCACTTTTGATTAATTTAATGCATCCTTGCTCGATAAAAACATTATTTTATTTTGAAAAATAAATAAATAAATATCTTATCTTGTCTTATCTTACACCAATTTGCTTTTACACCATTTTAGATATTTATTTGTTTATATGTATTATATACAAAAATAATGGATTTTTTTTGTGCAATATGATTATATTTGAACAAGCATTTTAAAACATGAATACTATCAATAAAGGAAACCGCTTTCAGAAAGACAGAGATATCATAAGATGGATAACAACCATCTGAGACCATGTAACAGCATCATACTTGCAATGAAATTTTGGAGGTCATAGTTCAGCTGCAGGCGTCTTGTACCCCATCTCTTATTGACTCTCTCCTACAGTCAATTTTATGGCTCTTTTCAAGCCCTCATGCCTGGTTGTCATGGAAACATATCTGCTATTTGATTTGATTTAGCTAAAGCATGCCATAACGTTCATTCGTTTAAATGTCAGCAGGCTTCCCTGTAGAGAAGGAGATTCATTTATGCATGAGGCTTGGTTTTGTTCTCTCTCCTTTAATGTACCTCTGTTACCGCTGGTCCGCAATAGTATCTACCTCTATTGTCGGGACAAAACTCTCTCAAATGAATATCCCATAAACTTTTAATATGGCAGCACTGTGTCTGAAAGTCCTCTGATGACCTCAAACGGAGCAGATTGTGATTAGAAAAGATTGTTGATGTGTTTTAGACTGGGGGGGGTCTGTTGTGTGTGTGTGTGTGTGTGTGTTGGAGTTAGTCAGGGTGGAACCAGCAATCACAGTTCATGGGAAAGGAAAGAACAGGCAAGATTTCTGTGAGACACCCTTCTTGAACACACACACACACACACACACACACGCACACACACACACACAGACTGCATTTGATTATAGTTGGACGCTAGGGAGGTTTTGGAAAGCAGGAGTATTTCAGGAAACTCCTAAATCGTTACTCCAGGCTAGACTTGTGCCGGTATTCGGTAATGCGATATATCACGGTAAGATACTGGCATAACCCTACTCCAGGCACAACTTGGCAGCACGTGATTGGCTAGCTCTCTGTTCACATGACTTTGCTGTGCTGTGGAGACGGGGGTCTTGTAGCAGGGAACACAAAGAAAAACAGGCAGAGAAAAAGGAAAGACAAGGGAATTTGTCAGATGTGAGGCAGATTCAGTGACCTTGCACATAAATCAAACATTTCAGAGGTGTGACCGAAGAGAAAGTTCAGTAGGACAGAAGAGTGTAAAAAGAAAAGAACAATGTAATAACCCCAAAGATGTCTAATCTAGTCATGAACTGTCTATTTTAAACATGCACTTGAACACTTTCCGTGGCGTTTATACAGGACGCGTTGTTCCATTTTGTTGGGTTTTAAGATGCTGTATCAAGTTTTAGAAACATGTTGAAATCTGTTATCCATTTCATTGTGTTCAGTCTTGATAGTTTTAAACAAAAGAGCGTGTCCTGTGTGAACAGCCCATTAATCGTGCTGTAATCAACAAACCTGATATCAGAGCTCCATCTGCTGGTAGAAGAGTGTAAATCACTTTTGATAGACCTTAAGACCTTTGTCTTCAATAATGCATAGACTACCGTTTAAAGATTTTTCAAAATGTTTTTGTTCACCAAGACTGATTATTAATAAATAAAATATATAGTAAAATCGTAATATTGTGAAATATTATTACAATGTAAAATAACTGTTTTATATTTTATTTTAAAATGTAATTTATTTCTGATGCAAAGCTGAATTTCCAGCATCATTGCTCCAGTCTTCAGTGTCACATGATCCTTCAGAAATCAATCTAATATGCTGATTTTCTGCTCAAGAAACTCGTAAATATTTTCATCAATGTTGAAAATAGCTAATATGTTTGTTGGGAAACCGTGATACATTTTTCAGGATTCTTTGATGAATTAAAAGTTCAAAAGAACAGCATTTATTTGAAATAGAAATATTTTGTAACATTATAAATGTCTTTACTGTCACTTTTGATCTAAAATTCTTTCTTTCTAAATAAATAAATAAATACTGACTTAAAACTTTTGAATAGTTGTGGACATCGATATCCTGTTTTTTGACATTTTGTCATCTGCTGTTGTCAACTAATTTAATTATTCATTTCGTTTTTTATTTATTATGTTATTTTTATATTAACACTCCTAGTTTAGTTCAACTGTTCGTCTGTTGGCATGTTAAACATCATGTTTATGTTCAAATTTTAATGAATTCTTTTTTTTTTTTTTTTTTTTTTTTTTTTTTACTTTTACTTTTGTTAGGTATTATCTATTTGTTAGACTGCTCTGTTAGAGAAGTTGCTGTTCCAAATCTGTAGTTGTCCTAGTTTTCAAGGAGAACCGCTAGTTGTCAGGGAAACTGGTGGCAGGAGGCTCTCAGGAGTGTTTGGAGTGGAGAGAGTTCGACCATTTTTGGAGATAGTTATCAATCTTCTGTCCCTAGACACCGAGGAAACACTGTATGTGTGTGTGAGAGAGAAAGAGCAAGTAAAAGTGTGTTTGCCTATGTTTGTGGTAAAAGTGAATTTGTGGTCCTGTACCAGCGCTAGTTTCTGTTTCGGGAGGTTTTTAGTTTAGTGACTGCCCTGGTTTCATGAGCGATTAGAATACATATATCAAACCACAAAACATCCTTTACAAACTGTCTGTTGTGAGAAGTGAACTTTATGTATGCCAGCTATAGAGATTCATGTTTGTACAGGTGAATCTCAATAAATTAGAATGTCATTCTTCAACAACCTGTTTGCTCTCTGAACTGGCTTATATGGGTTGTGTCACATCATTTGAAACAGGTTAAATCAATTTTGAGTGGTTGTGTTCTATCAATGACATGTGTTCTCTATTTGTATTTGATTGTTGCCACTTGTGTTTACCAGTATGGATGACATGTGCATTAGAGTGCAGAATGTGTTTTGAGAATGAGAATGTGTTTAGAGTTTTGCTGAAAAGTCTAAGTGAGATCTGCAAATTGTGTTTTACCTAAATGCATGTTAATTGCAAATAAATTAAAATGCATTATAGTTTAAATCCATATTACAGTTTTTCTCGATTGCTAAAACACAATTTCTGAAACCTTGGGCAATCGAGAAAAACTGTAAATGCAATTAGCTGAACTTAAGAGTGCTTTTTGGCATACTTAAGTACATCTTTACATGTAATTTCATAATTACTTCTATTGTCTTTAAAATATGGTTAAAGTTTACTGTTGAATGTAATGTAAAATATAATTTATGTTATTTATACTGTATATATTTTATATTTATATTTTATTTTTTGCAATTTAGTACATTTGAATATATTAACTTTAAATATAATAGTGAGAAACACACTACAGTAAAATTATAATCAAGTACTTTATATGTGTTTTATTATGTTAATCAATACATCAAAATAGTGTACTTCTTTATATTGGACATTATTACAAAATGCACTTAAATGTGTTCAGTCATGAAAGTGTGCTCTCTTTAAGACTTTTATTTCATTAATATTATCTGCAATTACATTTTTTAAAATATACTATACTTTCAATATTTGAAGTACACTGCAAGTGCACATTTAATACAATATAAGTGCACTTCTTTTCACCATCAGTGCATCCTCACCATTAGAAACATTGCCCTTTCCTGAAGTTTTTCCACCATTGTGATATATATTACATTTGTCTAGGTTGCTGAGGCGTTATTGTTAGGCTTATTGTTAGACTTTAAGTCCGAATTGTTCTGAACAATGTGTCAAATACATTAATGCAATAACAGTAGTGTGTGTGGGATTGGGGTCATGTGTGATGTATATACCATGTCAAGTGTCTACTAAGCTCAGCAGATTATAGAGCAAAAAAATATTCCTTATCTCTATTTGATGCAAGCAGCTTCTCAAGTGATAACTAAGGGAAGATTCAACTATAATTACATGCAGATTGTGAAACATTACTCCACTCACATTTATCTCTGTCTCTTACAGAGAAGAAGCAGGAGAAAGCCGCAGCCAGCCCAGGTGAGTCGTATTATGACCGTGGGCTCAGAGCCAAGCAAGAGGGCTCTCAGATGACTCTACTTATCTGCATGCTGCACAGATTACTATTAATTACCAACTTCTTATGAGCTCGTAGATACTGAGACAGACATAACCTCTCTGACACGGCTATAGTGGAATTACTGCCACAGTATTTAGATGTATAAAATGCATTTAACCTCTTGGGCCCATTTTTGCCATTTAATCTTTGCCCTTTTTATGTCTTCTTGTATTTGTAGCATGAGTATATATTGTATGTGCTCTGCAGAGGATATCAAAATGAAGACGCTATTGGCAAAAGTGATGGCTATTCACTAATTGGTTTTAACTAATTTTGTTCTTTAACATGCTATTTGTAATAATGATGCATATAATATTGAAAAATGTTTATTAAAGATATTTATATGTTGTATCTTTGATGTACTTACTATGAAGACATTTTCTGTATTGATTTTTCACAGGTGTTTTACCCGTATTTCGAATTATACATTACAATTTGTATTGTAGCGTCCATAAACTTAATGGATAATGTCCTGGCAGAGTTTAAAATATTAAACCACCAATAATTTGTATAGTTTAGTATTTTAAGGCACAACACTACAGGGAACAACATCAGTTTTGAGATTTTGGGCTGTTTATTATGTGTTGTTTCAGAGTTAAACATGAGGAAACATGAAAAAAACATATTTAAGTGTTTATTGTATTTATCTATTTGTATCTGTAGATTTCAGTTACAATACATATCTTTAAATGTCGTTTTCTCAAAAAAAACAAAAAACAAAAAAAAAACATGCATTGAGCCAGACATTTCCTTTTCAGTTGCACTTAACCAAACTTTTTTTTTCTGTTTTATCTATATTTTATATCTTATTTGCATATTCATAGCATTTCATTACAAAAAACGTTTGCACTTAATGTAATCAATCAACTAGGGAAATATGGTGGTGTCTATTGGTTAATTTTTTACCCAATTTTTTCCCTATTCACCTGGGTGTCTTGGCTTAACATTTCAAAAATGTTCTTAAAATAACTTATAAAGCCCAGCAATACGCAGAATTATTAATAGTCTTAACAGAAGCGGAACATAATACGTGACCATTTTGGTTTTCAAATGTCTGTAAATTTACAAACACAGATGTTTAATGTCTGCCTGAAGGGTATTCATTGTATTTCAGTGAAAGGAATGGCATTTATTGCAGCATAAAAGCATCCATTTGGTTTGGTCCCTTCATCGTCAGGGCTCTGTGTATATTACCCTCCACCAGGCAATCTCTGCGCCCTCCTGCCGCACTTCAAAGAGCCTTCAGGACGCGCCACATCATTTCTCTGACAGCCTCCCAAGGCGTGTAAAATACACCTAAAATGACTTCTGTTTGCATAGCAGCAGATCAGGCAGTCATGCTTTTTTGATGAATCAGTGTGTTTCAATATTAGCTCACCTTTGCACAGCTGTCAGCACAATCCATACATCTGACTGAACACTATCACCAAACCAATAATCCATATGCTGGTCAGATCAGCTTGATCTGTTAGACAGCTTCCTCTAAAATAATTAAAGGGATAGTTCACACACAAATAATTTCTGTCATTATATACTGACTCATTCCAATCATGTATGACTATTTCTTTCTTCTGTGGAAAATTAAATAAAAATCTCAATATAATGTAAGTCACTGAGGTCAAACGTTGAGTTGGACCCCACTGACTTTTATTGTGAGGACAAATAGAGCTGAAATGTTCTACAGGGATTTTTAGGTTTGGAACAATAAAAGATGTGCAGAATTGTAATTTTTAGGTGAACTATTCCTCCAATTTGTGGGAAAGAACAAAGCCTGGAAGTTTGACTCAATTATGAACATGTCCTTTACCTCTTGTTTATTGGTGAACATGTCAAAATCAGCTGTACCAGGTGGAGTAGTCTACTGACAAACTGCTGAGATAAGATTAAACTGACAGCATGATGTGTACGTTTCAAAGTAGCTGATGTGTGATCACTGGTCTATGTGTCTGTATGAACTGACGAATTCTCTATGGCTGTTTTAGGTGTCTGTGCAGTTTTATCACTGTGGATCTTTTTCACAGACTGGGATGACACGTTTACACATTTATTAACTTTGTAAATATACTTTGTGTTACATTACTTTGGCATTAAATTCCAGAAAACTAGTTACAGCTGCTGCACGAGTGTTTCTAACACAACAGCTGAAAGAGTGACTGCACATTTGTGACCCTGGACCACAAAACCAGTCTTAAGTCGCTGGGGTATATTTGTAGCAATAGCCAAAAATACATTGTATGGGTCAAAATTAACGATTTTTCTTTTATGCCAAAAATCATGAGGATATTAAGTAAAGATCATGTTCCATGAAGATATTTTGTAAATTTCCTACCATAAATATATCAAAACTAAAACACAAGCTAATTTTCATTTTTGGGTGAACTAAACCTTTAAGACTGGTTTTGTGGTCCAGGGTCACATTTGACGTCTTTCTCTCTTCTGACCAATGTAATTAATCTCTCGATTTTTCCCCTCTTTTGTAAAGTCATAGAAACAATATTGTGGATTTTTTCTTTTGCTATTGGAGCAAATGGGAACACGACATTTATATTTGTTGCAGTTTCCGCTCACCCTTATATGTAGTTTACCTTCTATGTAGTTGACTTCTGCTTCTGAGAACCCTGGAAATGTGAAAAGGGTCTATATTCTGTAGCACACAATCATCCTAGACCTGCTGCCCTACACACATTTGCAGATGACTCATTAGACAGAAATGATCAGACACATCAGTTATCTGTTCAGAGCAAACTGCACAGAGAGCAGATGACCTCACAATCCCAATCCCATTTCAATCTTATTTCCTATTCCTCTCTTCAAATAACTTATAAACGATAACCCCACTGAAACTGCAACCTGACTGAAACTGAAGTGTGGGAAAGAAATGTTTTTGTCTCTTATAGAATTATGATAACGGAGACTCTCAGCTGGATTCTGCAGAGCTGCTCAAGTTCATTCAGCACAATGAAACAGCCGTTCAGATGAACTCTTACGCTGAAGAGGAGAACAACCGCCTGCTCAGGTAAAAACACACACACAGCCACACAATCTCACAGAACTAGTGCGCATTTGTACACTTCCGTTTAAAAGTTTGGGGTCCGTAAGAATTTAATGTGACACTGAAGACTGGAGTAATGATGCTGAAAATTCAGCTGTGATCACAGGAATAAATTACATTTTAAAATATATTCAAATAGATTACGGTTATTTTCAATTGTAGTAATATTTCACAATATTACTGTTTTTAGTAATACTTTTTACTATATTTTTGATCAAATAAATGCAGCTTTGGTGAGCAAAAGAGACGGTACCAATACAGATCCCAAACTTTTGAACGGTAGTTTACAAAATGCAGTCTGTTGTGACATACAGTATGCTGGTTTCCATGAATAACCAAATCTGCAATATTTTAAAGTAACTGTTCATTGGAATGCAGAAGAGTTCAAAATATAGTTCAAAATATATATTTTTTCTAAAAGAGGAATGAATTTACATTTTTGAGTGAACAATCCCTTTAACCACTAGCCTACACTGTAGTTATAATCATCATAATCATCTCAGTCACACTGGACTTCTTCCTGTTTCTCTCACAGTAGGGGTTATTTGAGTTTATTGTGTCCATCTGTCTGTCAGGATGAGCCAGAGGGGAAAAACTCCATCTACAAACACTCATAAAGCCAAGCAAACATTTAACTGCACAACTGTGTGCTATACTGCATATTCGGTTAGCTAGATAAGTGTATTGAAAACACAAATAAGACATGAATTTTTAACTCTTGGTCACATCGGAACAAAATGTTTTGTTGTGAAAGGAATGTTCAAAAGACCCTACATGTATCTCACAGGAGCCTTTGTGTGGACGCTCTTGTTGAGCTCTCAGATGAGAATGCCGACTGGAAACTGAGCTTTGATGAGTTCCTCAGCTGCTTGAAACCAGGCTTCAACCCTCCTGAGAAGAGTGAGTCTCTGTCTGTCTTGCTTCTGTCTGCACCAGCATGGAGTTTACAAACGATTCCATCACTTGCATAATGACAATGTGGACAAGTCAAGATTTGTGAGCAGTGTGAACAAAGCCATGGTGTTTTTTTATACTTAAGGAGCAGTTTTAATTCCTTCAGAGTTGGAAGTTTTGCTTCCATATTGAAGATCTTTCTTATATTCAAAGTTACATTCCAGAGTTTTCCCAGAATTGTAGTTCTGTGAGGCAGAGAGGGAGCAAACTAGGGGTTTTCCGCTCTTCCACAGAACGTTCCTCAGGCTGATAGGCTCCACATGCAGAACTTGGTGAAAGTTCAGTGGGAGGAGCTGCTTTCTCTGGCATCATATGAAGCAACTTTTACACATGCAAACTCAGAACCAGTGCTGTTATTGTTGAGTAAAACTAAAATGAATTTTAAAAAAAATTGGTAATTGGAATAAAGCTGAAATAAAATAATACATGAATATTAGATGAAAAACTTAAACTTAAAAATGCTTAAATGAAAATTAGAAATGTTGCCTTGGCAACTGACTAAAAAGTTGGAAGACTAAAATTACTAAAACTAAAATATAAAAATAAATTAAAATTAATATAAATTAAAAAAAACAACAAAAAAGAATAAGAATGACAAAAACATAACAAAACTACTAAAACTTAAAATAAAAACTGAAAATATAAAAATAAAAGCTAATTCAAAATATGGATACTATAATAATATAAACAATACTAAAATAACATAACCTTTGGGTCTGTCACAGGATATAAAAGACATACTAGAGAAGAATATAAAGATCTGGAGAAGGATGTATGACATTTATAAATCCTGTTGACAGTAAACTATAGCATTCATAGCACCATTGGTGTATCATATCAGATCAGAATTAAAAGTAGATGCCCTGGCTTCTGATCTTGAGTCGACTTGCCATGATAGTTGAGAACTGCACACTTCAGTCATATTCATTTACCCTAGTTTCTCCTGGATGGTTGTAGCAGCATAGTCGTTCCACAGTAATTTCCTGTTTTGTATTTGGGAATCTGGGACACAGGCAGACAGTATTTGGTTGCAGACACAGCCATGTATTGCAAGCCTTTCAAATGGTGATGTTCAGACAGCTTTTGCTGATTTTAACTTACAGTAGTTTATAGGGAATAAAGTGTTGGTAATCAAGATTAAATTTTTTTGGGGGGGGGGCTTCTGGTAACTTGTTTTGAAAATTATTGTGGTAACATGGTTTGTGTGTTACTACAGAGTGTGCTCTGGAAGATGAGACCTATGAAGATGGTGCCGAGACTCAGGTGGAGTGCAACCGCTGCGTCTGCGCATGTGGAAACTGGGTCTGCACCGCCATGACTTGTGATGGTGAGTTTATATCAACAAATTCAAGACAGAAAAGGAGAGTGTGGGGTAAGCTGTGCCCGTTTGCACTCTAGTCGAAGTGAAAGAAGACTGAGACCTAATTATATTTCGGGATGCATCAATAATACAGACCATAGAAATATGACTTGTCAAAAAAAGTGATAAAGTGACACAAGGGAAGTTCTAAGAAAGTTTCTTGGATGAAGGGCTGACACATCTTACCCCACTTTCCCCCACATGAGCAGTACTGATTCCATTTTATAATAATGAGACTGACTCGCTCCACAGAGAAAAGCCCAGTTATTGACACTAATGGGGATCAGGAGATGACCGAAGAGGAATGGACTCGCCGTGTGGCTGAACTCAACAAGCATCAGGTCAGCTGTCTGACTTCATTCACCGCAAACTGATGTCATTGTTTATCATAAATCAATGTCAAATTGCTTACTATCTATCCTTGACTGTCCCATCTAATAAAGGCTAAATAATGGCAGAAATAAATAAACAGAGCCGATCCTCCCTATACGCAAAGTACGCAAGCTGCGTAGGGCCCCCGAAACACCAGGGGGCCCCCTTGCGCTCACTTTTATTCAGCAGTGATGTATTAAATTGCTCCAAAGTGACAATAAAGACACATTACAAAAGATTTATATTTCAGTTATTTAAAACTTACTGACCCCAATTTTTGAACGGTAGTGTAATTTAATCAAATTAAAAATCAGCTTACCCAGTACTTTTGTATATGAACTATATTTTGTAGGCTTCTTAGAGCCAAAACATTAAGTAAGCTAAATTTCTCAGTGTGGTGCTGCAATGTGTTTGAAATCGGTCACTTATGGGCTTCCATTTTAGACATGATGTTTTACAAGCGTACAGCAAATGTGTTTTACTTAGTGTTTATCACTTCACATAACACGATGCATGCAAACAGACACTAAATCCCTCAGTAAAAGCAGGAGCTTGCTGATTTAAGGAGAGTTTTATGCTCTCACACTACTTCATACACTAACTCATAAAATAAGTCAAATAAACCACAAAATAATGCGACTGACATAGTAAGTGGTGTTTGATGTGTAGATATCATTGACACAAAAATCCAGAACTAGCCAGTTCAAGTCCAGGCATGTTTCCCTGAGTCTGAGGGAGGACTTAGTTTGTCATTTCAACTGACTAATACACTTTTTAGAGGGCTGTAAACTGCAGGTGGTGACCTTCCTCATGGGCTACACTAACTGCTTGTTGATTTTCTATGTGAAATATAAGCTGTTGCTGCCAGTTAGTTTGCCTGAGGCAAAACAAACAAACGACTGACTTCTGACGTATGCCTCCATCAGGAGACGGTGGAGAAGATGAAGACCAGCACAAAGGAGGTCTAAACCAGGACAGACACGAGGAGGGAGATGACGTGGACGAATTCCTCTCTTACTGATCACAATCAGGATTCCTGAGATTATGTACTGTTAATGGAAGAATCACACCATTTTCTATAGATAGGTTATTACTTTTATTGCTATCCATACTGCATCTATTCTCTGGTTAATGTGTTTTATGTTGCGGTTTACTTTTCTATGTATTTCATTAGCTTTTCACCATTTCGTATGTTCATCTGTGTGTCTTCAAGTGCTGTAAATTGTTTGATTGTGTCACTCCAAACAGGCCTCAGCACTTTGTTATGGGGGCCCTTGTTTTATTCACTATTGTTTGATTTGATGTATTATTCTTTATACCGTTTATTTGTTTGTCTGTCTACAGTTATATGTGGAAATGTTTTTTTTTTTTTTTGACTGAAACAATGGCAATAGAAGAAGAAAAAAAAAGAGGAAAGGATTCGAGAGTGATGCTGAGAGAGCAAAACAACACGGGTTCGTCCATCAGACTGTGACTTTAGAGCTTCAAAACGAGAGATGTCCTTCAGTCAGATGGTAGATACTCATGCTAAAACATCTACACGCTAGAAAGAGCTTGATGGATATAAATGCTTGTCATGGCCGCTCTCTCTCTTTCACTCTCATCTTGAAGGCAGTCATAGTCTTGAGACCTTTCGTAAAGGTGCTAATGTTAGTATTCCTCTGTTTGCTGCTTTGCTCTCTTGCTTTAGATGGTAGATAATGCTCGGTAGGACATGAAATAATAGAAGCAGAGACGGCATGGCTCAGTGGAGAGAGCAGGCAATACCTTTGAATTTTAACATCATTATGGGACAACAAACCCACCATGTTGTTAATACTTGACAAACATGCTTTTTCTGCCATTAGCGACTTCGATTAGAGTAGATCACCTCCGTTAGTAGAAAACTGCTGCACAGATGCATTGGCTACGCTTGAGCTTGTATTTATATTAGTTGCTAGAGGCAGTTCATGCTGAAACTCTCACACTGTGCTCAGTCCCATTCTGATGCTGGGGTTGAATTGACAAAATGAACTAACAAGCCAGATTTATAAAAAAAAATAAAGCAGCTGAGCTCACAAAGATGGGACTGAGTACAGATGGAGTGATCTGAAACCAAAGCCTGATGTTTAAATTGTTGTACGAAAACCTCCAGGTATATCACTACTCTGGACCCAGCAACTACTTTATACCTGTTACTTAAAATAACTGTCAGAATAGAGTTGCTATTGCCTCTGTAGTGTAGATGCATTCTTACCCACTTAAGAGAATGTGTGTGTATGTGTGCGAAATGCATTTGTGTGTGTGTGTGTTAGCATTAGAGCCCGACCGATATGGGTTTTTTGGGGCCGATACCGATATTTGGGAGTAAT